ACAAAGACTCTCACAACGAAAGGAAAACATTTCTGGGAAAAGAAAGCTTCCTTCAGCACAGGTTGGGTGGTCTCAATCCTTGTTGATATCTAGTGGAAATAGAACTCTTGGCGAAGGATCACAGGCTATTCACTTTCGCCAATTGCTATCAGGTGAATGGTGGGCCCAGCTTATTGGATGATACCATGTGTTGGCTTTGATTGTGGCGGCCGATATTGGCTGCCTTGTAAGATTGGACACGGAGGCTGTCGGCCATAGCTTGTGTTGCACGGCTTCCTTGACGCTTTTTATGAGATAATGCTATCGCAGTAAGCGACTCGCTCAGACTGACGCACACTGAGCTATCACAGCCTCTCGTCCACTGTCTCTGTAATGGTATTACTGGTTGGTATCTTGGTGAAGCATCTTCTCATCTTCTTCCACCCGGAAAAATTATATATATATATATATATATATATATATATATATATATATATATATATATATATATATATATATATATATATATATATATATATATATACAGCACTATGTGCAGTATTGAATAGCTGCAGAGTACCGAGGTCCCATTCCAACTGCTAAAATAAAATTAACAAAACAATGGAAAACGGGATTTCGCCGACTTCTTCGCCTTCCTCTTTATTTCTTACCTGGTAATTATTATGTTTACTCTCCTGCCGCTTGGCGGCGTCACTGTGGGGGTTATCGCATAGCCATTATCTATCTATAGCTCTGGGTTATCGCATAGCCATTATCTATCTATAGCTCTGGGTTATCGCATAGCCATTATCTATCTATAGCTCTGGGTTATCGCATAGCCATTATCTATCTATAGCTCTGGGTTATCGCATAGCCATTATCATCTATAGCTCTGGGTTATCGCATAGCCATTATCTATCTATAGCTCTGGGTTATCGCATAGCCATTATCTATCTATAGCTCTGTTATCGCATAGCCATTATCTATCTATAGCTCTGGGTTATCGCTAGCCATTATCTATCTATAGCTCTGGTTATCGCATAGCCATTATCTATCTATAGCTCTGGGTTATAGCATAGCCATTATCTATCTATAGCTCTGGGTTATCTCATAGCCATTATCTATCTATAGCTCTGGGTTATCGCATAGCCATTATCTATCTATAGCTCTGGGTTATCGCATAGCCATTATCTATCTATAGCTCTGGGTTATCGCATAGCCATTATCTATCTATAGCTCTGGGTTATCGCATAGCCATTATCTATCTATAGCTCTGGGTTATCGCATAGCCATTATCTATCTATAGCTCTGGGTTATCGCATAGCCATTATCTATCTATAGCTCAGGTTATCGCGTTCACTAATTGAAGTGAGCTATCAACCCATACAAAAACACGAGATAATAAGACGCAGTTCTAAATAATTTCACTACTGACACACTATTTATTTTTTAAAGATTAGAATACACTTTTTATATAAATATTAGTCTATAGTAGTCTATGCAATAATTTAATGGAATACCCTGGTATAAGTAAATAAAAGGTTTACGAGTTTAAATTACATCTCATAGCTCGTGCTATTAAAATTATTACATCCTACTTGGCTTTTGATTGTCTCTCAGTTGACATTAAACGAAGCACTATATTATACCGAAAGGAATTTTAGACTACCCGATGATATGCGTAAAATTAGTCATTGCAACTAGGCTAACATTCTACCTTCATTTAATACTGTTATTTTACAAGTACAATTAAGGCATATACATAAATTAAGTATGTTGTCTAGCAAATAATATTTACATGTGCATGATAACAGCTTGGAAAAGAAACACATCACTTGTGAAATAGGAGTGGAACCTAACCTAACCCAACTAAACCGTGACTTATCCGAGTCTAATCTAACCTAACCTACCAAATCAGACTTAATTTATTGTGGCCAAACCTAACTTATCCTAATCTAACGTAACCTAATTTAACCTAACCAAACTTAACCTTACCTACCTAACCTAAACCAAAATCCTAACCTAACTTTACAAAACCAATATACTTGTACAGGGTTGGAGTGGATTTCTCCCCTACAAACGCCGTTTGTCGCTAAGTAGCCGACCCCAGATTCCCCAGTGTATGCCACGTGGTCTAGGTCAACCAGCGCCGCCTTACATGACGGAGGTCAACTACTAAGCCACGCCTACCTCCGCTATTTAAGACCTGACCTCGTAGTGACCTCTCTCTTTTCTACCGACACCAACCAGCAAGCAACACCTCCTCCGCCGCTGCCTGGCGGCCCTCGCTCCGCCGGCGAGCATGGCGACCCACAAGCTGGTCCTCCTCTGAGCACCCTCACCAACCAGCTCTCTCTACCCAACGCTTGTAACCACGCTGCCACTTCCCAGCACCAAGCTGCATTGTACATCAATACAACATGTATACAGAGAGCACATTGTGAGTTTCCTTTCTCCATCCCATCCTGAAAGTGAACAAACATCACATGACCCCACAAATGGTGACCCCCGGAGATTCCCACTCACACAGGATGGAGGAGAAACCGATCACTCTCAGTCTTCAAGCAACATGGAAGACTGGCTTATCACCAGAGAGCAGCTCTCATCGGCTCTACAGCTACTGTCTCTACACCGCAGGTTAGACACCCTAGAGCAGCTCTGCGACTCTAAGCAGACAGCCGCTCCTCTTCCTGCCCCAAGCACCACGTCCTACCGACCCCAACACACCCGTCCTGCCTCAGACGCCGCCCCGGCCCAGCAGTACCCATGCGCCTGAGTGCGGACCCACACCCCCCTCTTTTCTCCCTCAGGTACTCCCTGCTACTGTCCTGCACCCTGCTGCTGTCGTGGACCCAGCTGCTGTCACGAGCCCTCATCCGCTTCTGCTGACGCAGCCCCTGCTCCTGACCCAGGCCCACACACCCCAGCAGGCGCATCTGACGACTCTGTACCTGCCGTGAGGGAAGCACAACATTCATCGCCTCCACACAGCCTTTTTCTCCCTCTCTACTCCCACAGATATTGTGTATCTAGACAGTTGCCTCCATTAGCGGCCGGCTCATCCACGCCATCGCCGTTGTCTCACATGAGGCATGCACCGCCCGTTCTGCCTAACATGTGCCATGCAACCCTGCAGACAACAAGTCTCCTACACCGCCTGGAGGGAAGGAGGGAGTATTGTAGTGGATTTCTCCCCTACAAACGCTGTTTGTCGCTGAGTAGCCGACCCCACGAATTTCCCAGTGTATGCCTCATGGTCTAGGTCAACCAGCGCCGCCTTACATGACGGAGGTCAACTACTAAGCCACGCCTACCTCCGCTATTTAAGACCTGACCTAGTGGTGACCACTCTCTTTTCTACCGACACCAACCAGCAAGCAACACCTCCTCCGCTGCTGCCTGGCGGCCCTCGCTCCCGCCGGCGAGCATGGCGACCCACAAGCTGGTCCTCCTCTGAGCACCCTCACCAGCCAGCTCTCTCTACTCAACGCTTGTAACCATGCTGCCTTCCCAGCACCAAGCTGCATTGTACATCCAATACAACATGTATACAGAGAGCACATTGTGAGTTTCCTTTCTCCATCCCATCCTGAGTGTGAACCAAACATCACAGGACCCCACAGGGTTTCCTAATAATCCTGAAATCCATTTATTTTTATATTTTTTGCTAATAATCTGTAATATAAAATTAATTTTGATTTTTTTTACTAAACCTCCATTATTTGAACCTTTTGTTATTAAAATTTCTATAGCTAAGGTTAATTTCTTTAATATAAGTGTATCTTGAATTAACTACATGATAAATATTCTTTATATAACTATTATTCTTTATCATTATTACTTTATTATTATTAAAAATTATTATTATTATTATCGTCTAACGAATCTCGAGAAATTTATCTTTGCAATCAATAATTCAAACAATTCTAAAACACTTTTCTTCTACAACGTTTCCCGCGCAAATATTCTATATTATGAGTATTGTTATTGTTATTGTTAGCCATTTTTAAAAGTGATACTCGGTTGGTTTATTTACTACTATGGTCACACCTTTAATCTCATTCAAAGTCATTTAATTCTTGCATTTAATCTCATTCAAAGTCATTTAAGTCGGCCATTTAATCTCATTCATAAACTGTTTATTTACATCCGTTTTCTGTTACAATAAGAGAGAATGGAGGTTAATTATGGGGAAACTTCTTTGCTCTTTATTAAGGGGATTAGCCCACCCAGGCACAGGTCACCGAGCTACATCGGTGCCTGGGGGACTAAAAATAAATAAACAAATAAATAAATAAATAATTTATATGAAATTTAACAGAAATGGACAAAATTAAACAAATCAAGAGCGAGAAACAATATATGCAGTACGTATGTTGGTTTGTCAAAGAAAGAGAAACAATTGAGACCCTGCAATTATGTACAGTAAATGAGATAGAAAGTCAGATAAGCAATCTTGGACTTGGTCACAGTTTTTGTGATGCCATGTGGCAACAGGTTCTACCATTAGACAACACGTTGTGCTTCCAACATCTTCCCAGGTGGTAGTACCGGTTGTAAGATATAACAATTAATTTACTTTAGTGTGCTTTATTTTATCCTCTTTGCCACTGATCGGCCTGTTAGCCGCTTGAGAGGTTGGTCACGTCTCTGTGACCTACTGACCTGTCAGCCCTTTAATCCTGAGAATAACTCCACAAACACCATTTAAAACCAGCGCTTCAATACTACACATAAAAGACTTATTGTATCCTAAAAATATGAAATTGGTGTTTATTTAGTTATATCTTATTAATATACTTCTTTTTTACATTTAGGGAGCTCACCAACTACCCTTCACCGCTGTTTAATAGGCTGTATATTTTCAGCCATTGAGTTTGTTTACAAATATTGATTACCCTTCACATCTACTGAAGAATAGTCTTTAAATAAATAGTATCACATGCCCTTAGAAGTAAATTAATAAATATTTGCATTTTTATTAAGATAAATATTTAATGTTATACAAAAATACTTGTAAAATGACTTAATAGGAATGAGTCAGTGTATGGAGGTGACACAGGCGTCTTCCTCGCCACGTCTCCCAAGTAACACTAACACATATCTTCTTCCCCACGTCCACCAAGTAACACTTAACACATATCTTCCTCCCCACGTCCACCAAGTAACACTTAACACATATCTTCCTCCCCACGTCTCCCAAGGAACACTTAACACGACATGGAGGCCAGACCGAGCTTGGTGGTCCTTTCTACACATGATAAAGATATGTCCAGTATAGTGAAAGGTGAGTCTGGTTATCTTTTGTTCTTAAGAGGATAAAACTAAAACTAAACTAAGTGTCAAATGGTCTTTAATCATGTCAGGGAGGTTGATATATGTCCAATATAGTGAAAGGTGAGTCTGGTTATCTTTTGTTCTTAAGAGGATAAAACTAAAACTAAACTAAGTGTCAAATGGTCTTTAATCATATGAGGGAGGTTGATATTTTATAATAATAAAATAATATTTATTCTGTAAAATAATCAAGCAGGTTTACAATTAGATAAACGTGTATATAAACTATATAGTTATGTAGTTCAGTAGGAATATAGACAATATAGGTATACAGTGCAAGGGGGTCCGACTAATTACCCAAATGTAGCCAAATACAGTATAGCCGGAATGAAGTCAAATGATGGTCGTACAAGCATAATTCGGGCTGTGAATCACTTCTCGATTATTATTTGGTGTCATAAAGTAAAAAAAAATTGGTAAACTTAATTTAATCTTGAGTTGTGTTAGGTTAGGTTAGGTTAGGTTAGGTTAGATTAGATTAGATTAGATTAGATTAGATTAGGTTAGGTTAGGTTAGGTTAGGTACATGCACTTGATCTATTAACTCAGATTAAATTAAGTTTACCAATTTTTTGTGACTTTCTGACACCAAATACTAGTCGAGAAGTGATTGGCAGTCCGATTTATTCATGTAGGACCATCATTTGACTTCATTGTGGCTACATTTGGGTACATTTGGGTAATTAGTCGGACCGAACCTAACCGAACCGAACCAAACCTAACCAAACCTAACCTAACCTAACCAAACCTAACCTAACCTACCCTACCCTACCCTACCCTAACCTACCCTACCCTAACCTACCCTACCCTACCCTAACCTAACCTATAGTAATAGGTATATTGAAAACAAACAAAAGATGTGGGGCAATTTAAAACAATAATACCTCCTTGACATTTATTTCTGTAATACCTTGATTTTCTCACATAAACCATCCACTCTTAACTAATGTACAGATTTTATAATGTACAAAATTTTGAAATAATTTTTTTATAGAACAACTGCACTAAATGTGATCTCCCCAGTGTTTGTTGAATCACTTCTGGCATTTCAGAATAGGATTTAATTTCTACATCACAATTTGTATGATCACGGGTGCAAAATACTATACAGTTATTTTTCTTTTAGGTATTTTAGAAGTGGAGTGTGTTCCAGAACCTAGTCTAATATTGGATGAAATTAAATGCTGGCAGTGGGATATGGACAACAAATACTACACAGCGTCAGTTCAACTTGCAGCTGTCTCACGGCCGGACTGTAGTTTGTCGTGGATCCTAAAACACGGTGAAGCGCTGCTGGTGTACTGTGACTCATCGCAGGTTAGTAATTGTATTATTGTACTTGTCTGGAGGAGTGATTGATCATGTACAAAAAACTCGTGCTAAAGAGAATGATCTATAACTTCTCATTTATTTCTTTTCACCTTCTCAATTAATTTCAGAGTAAGTTTCTAGAAAACAGTATTGTGTATTTAAAGTTATCTTTATGCTGTATAATCTCAGATATCAAAATGAATTGGACACGATAGAGATTGAGTGAGTATAGCAAGGCTGCCTACTTTCTTTTAATTTTTGAGAGAGAAACTACTATTTATTGCGTGTGCATTTAGTCTGATGTTCCAAGATATGTATACTGTACTTAAGGGTCTTAATTAAAAAAAAAAAAAAAAATCTGTCATTGGAAGCACATCCCTCCAGACCCTAATAGAAGTGCTTGTATTTACCCAGCAAATTTTCTATTGATACCTATGTCTTCAGCTCTTTAAAACTCTTAGTGGTTGTCATGCTGGAACTGTTTGCAGGTGGTTTGTTCTTTTCTTTACATCCAGTTTCTGTTTCATCAGTCCTAAGTGTAGAGGGATAATGACCAAAGTGAAACACAAAGCTCTTAGCCTGATTTACTCATGGATGTCATTGGATTAGATCAAGTTCAGAGGGTCACTACCATTAAAATGTTTGTGTTCGAGATATTTCAAGACTTGGTGAATGAATATTGATTAAATTTCCAGACTATGCACCACATACCCATACAGAGGTCTATAGATCTGACTAACTTTAGATCATGGATGAAAGTTTTAGGTTAAAATGTCATTATTACTTATTCAGTATCATTTAAGGATACTGTACCTGAAATGTAGTTTATATAATTTTTTACTCTTAATTCTCCATATGAAGACTTTCTGTTCTATGAATCTGCCTGATTGTATCATACAGGTTGTACCTCTCTAGTCCGGCATTCTGTGATACAGAAACTCCCGTGGTCCGGAACTATTTTAGTTTGTCCAATAGGTAGATAGGCAGCTTTTTTTTTTTTTTTTTTTACTTATCTGAATTATTATTATTACAGGAGTATTAAATTTTCGCCCCTCAGGCCCCAATGTGGGTCAGTGACCTATGCCTGGGTGGGCTAATCCCCGTTAAAAAAAACAACAAAGCCGCGGGAAATTAAGGTTTGTTTACATCCTGCAGTTCGGCTGCTCTCTCTCTCTCTCTGCTTATCTATACAGACTATACGGAGTACTGTACAACATTTAACCCTTCAATATATACGAGCAGTAAATAAATGTTGCTTTCATATTCTTATGTAGAGTAATGACAATATGTTTTCACGTGTGCGCACTTACATACGCGGAGTCTCACTGTTTTTCTTTACCATTAATGGTTACCTACTTATATTGTTCCATTTATTAACATTAAATAACATTACTTCAAACAACCATATTAATTTTTTTACATTAATTTTACCACAGCTACAATCAGGGTCTTATTTTCTTCAGTTTTATATGTAGAACCAATCAGTCACTGGTTTTGTAAGCATTAACGAAAACAATGCCGGCAGCCGTCTCGTCTCCTCGTGTGTTTTAATATTCCACGTGTTATTAATGAATTGTATTGTTTATTTTGCACACACAAACATTAATTCAATAAAAAAAAATTCAGGAACATTAATTAAAATATATATGAACGGTAAATAAGTGTTGTTTTCATATTCTTATGTAGAGTAATGACAATATGTTTTCACATGTGCTCACTTTCATACGTGATCTCTCTTTTTTTCTTTACCATTATCGTTAGCTACTTCTATTGTTCCATTTATTAACATTAAATAACATTACTTAAAATAACCATATTAATTTTACTACAGCTACAACCAGGGTCTTATTTTCTTCAGTTTTATATGTAGAACCAGTCAGTCACTGGTTTTGTAAACAGCGAAAACAAAGCCGTCTCGTCTCCTCGTGTGTTTTAATATTCTACGTATTATTAATGAATTGCATTGCTCATTTTGCATACATAAACATTAATTCAATCAAAAAGACATTCAGTAATAAACAGTGGCGTGTCGTGAGAAAATGCTAGGGTAAGCAAATGACGCTTTCTTACTTGTAAAGTCACGAGATCTAAAAGAATTCTTTAGTAGATCACATACAGTCTGTGATCTAAAGAATTCTTTAAGATCTCGTGACTTTACAAGTAAGAAAGCGTCATTTGCTTACCCTAGCATTTTCTCACGACACGCCACTGGTAATAAACAATAATGAGTCCTTTGTACATAAGAGAAATGACGCTGTTTACACGATTGTGCACGTCTGAACGTTGGTGAGCCGTTCAAACCCGTCGAAATTCTAGTTTCCGCAGTCAAAATTTATATATTTTTTTGTGTGTGTGTTCCAATAAAAATCGTTGAATTAAAAACTCGCAAAATTTGAGAAGCTACTGTACGACATTTAACCCTTCAATATGTCTTCAAAGAGACCATGAAACAGAGAAAGTGGTGCTAGTGCTTCCAAGCGTAAGCACAAGTCACTATCTATCCAGGAAACGGGTGAATTTCCATGGTCTGGCACCGGTCAGGTCCCGAGGTTGCCGGACAAGAGAGGTACAACCTGTATTAGAAACATTTCCACTCTTTCAAGGTACCGGAATGACATTATAAAAGGACAATCGGCTTAAATGGGCAAGTGAAATGATTAATAGATGACGTGCATGAATTGCATTTTATTGTATTTCATTATGTTAAGTCATTTGGGGTTTATTGGTTTGCTTGTCCATCCGTCTGTCTGTCGATCTGTCTGTGTTCCATTTTTATATACAGTATACTGTATTGTGTGTAAGGCTAAAGAATGGCTGAGTAGACTTAAAGAATACGTAAATAACTTGAACTTCATGGAAAATTCTTGATCTGAATATGTCTTACAGGTCTTGGGTCTAAAGGTCACAAGGTCTCTTGTATGAAAAAGGTATATCTGGCTGTGGCACTTTGCTACCAGTGTGTCAAGAGAATTAAGTGAGAAGTGTTCAGTGTGGAACAAAATAATGACTTAAGGCAGAACAGGAGGAAGTAGGCATAGAATGTATTTTGTTGAGGGTAAAAATAAATAAATTGATTAAAGAGAACTAGAAAAAAAAGATCTATGTGTTGTGGTTGACTGAATTTTTGTTTTAACGTTGTGAAAATGATAAAGTTTACAAAGTGAGCCAGATGATGGGTCTAATGTAGCAAAGTTAAGTCAGTTTTCTCACACTTGGATATGTCTGTCCAAGGAGCTCAATAATGAATACAGTAATTAATGTACTGTACAGCATTTCATTCTATACAGTATTTTTAGGACTTAACTTTTCTCTGTTCTGGTTCGTGTCCATTCCCTGGTCTCCTCTTTTTATAATTGTTGTTCTTTTTGGTAAAAATTTATCAAGTAGTCATAATGTTAACTGGCATAAACATCACAATCTGAATATTTTTTGCTTTGAAATTAATGGAATATTTTGATACTTGTTACTTAATACAGTATTATCTCTCTTTTACAGACAGATGTTTTGGAGAGATTAAATGGTTTATTGGAAAATGTTGGGGACTTTGAGCCAGAAGTACAGTTGCTGGTGTGTGATGCGTGTACCTCTGAGGAAGGTAACAGTGGACTGTCAAGGTTGAATGGTAAGTTTTGTAGGTTTATGTCTAATATAAATAATGGTGTGACACAAACAAAAGCTGTAACACCAGAAACTTGATGCTCAACACAACAATACTAGTTGACCACTTAACAATACTGTACATTACATGTACATGTAATATCTCCGTAAGCCAGAATCCCTCAAACCCGGAACTCTCCGATAGCCGGAAATGAAATTTTCTGAGGGGCACATTTTCCTGAAAGTACCGAAAAAAATCCCGATACCCGGAAAATTCCGGGGATGGGGGAGTTGTTTCCGGGTTTGAGAGATGAAAATCATACGCATTTTCTGGAAATTCCGAGAATACCCCAAAAATCTTTTGTTCCCGGAAGTGCTCTGCACCAATTGTTCCAGCTAACGGGGATATCACTGTACTGTAGAAGCACTGTGAACATTGTTTTGTTCATTAATAAGTGTGAAAACCAATGCACTTCCATACTGGGGCATATAAAGTAACACGTAAAATTCGTCATATGTAATAGTGTTCAACTCTAAGGTGGAGGAAAATATGCTGCCACATTAACTGCCTTGGTTTTCTGGTTTTCTTTATTCATTATTTTTATTTGTCATTAAAAATCTGTGTTGTATTTAATAAGGTGAATTTTATTTTCAGCCCAACAGTGGTGTATCAGCAATGGATGGGAACTCATAGAACTGAATCCAGTTGTAAATGAATCTGAAGACTCTGATACAGAAGATGATTTCCCCGAGAGTTGGGGATTCAAGAGAATTCGTCAGGCTCTTCATGCCCATACTTGGTCCAACCTGAATATGAAGGGTAAGAACTCCCTAAAACACCAGCTCATAAACCCATGTGATGAAGGCAAGATCTCTGGGATTAATTGTCATCTCTTCAATATCAATGAATTGTTTAATTAGAAGAATCATTCAGTTACTTAATTCAGTTTTTGGACCTTTGTAATTTTTACTGACCATCCTCATGGCACTGATCCTATGCAAGTATTCCAGTAACTTCATTGACCCACACCATACCATATGGTCAAGCCTTCGTACATTATTACGTTAGCAGTGGTTACCTGGTAAATGGACTTATTAGAATGAGCATATCATTGGCAGTTTTATCTTATGTATTTCAAAATTTGAAAATAAAAATACAGTTATATCTATGTTAGCTGGAATCCCTCTTAGCCGGAACTCTCTGATATCCGGAATTGAAATTTGCTCAGAATTTTCCGGAAAATTCCGGGTTTGGGAACGATTTTCTGAGGGTCACATTTTTGGGAAAATTCTGAGAAAATTTTCTCGGTACCTGAAAAATTTCACCGGTGGGGGATTTTTCCTGGTTTGAGAGAGTCGTCTCGTTGCTTGGAAATCTCTTATTCCTGGAAGTGCTCTGCACCAATTGTTCCGGATATCACTGAAGTGAAATTTCACGGAATAAAGTAGAATGGGACCAGTTTACTTTCCTACACAGTACTGTACTTGTTTAGAGATGTTACTTTGCACTATTCATCAATGGTGTATCTGTTGTAAAATTGTATAACCAGTGACAAATAGATACTGTACATTGTTTCTTATCTCAAATCTAAACATTTCTCATAATGATAAATATCATATAGATTAAGGAGACATTTTATCAGAATTAGTGCTAATATCAACGATCATAAACCACACATATATAAGAGCAGTAGCTGGAGGATCTGTTCTCATAATACCACCTTCCACCACCCTATCCTTATACTATGCATGGCAGATCAGCCAACAGGGTTTTGCAGTGTTAGGTGTGACTTTGAGCTCTTGTCATGATCTCGTTTTATGTTACATTTACAGTTTAGATATACAGTACAGTACAGTATATAATATCTGCTTATAAGATGCAAGGAGTTGGAGATTTCTTTTGATAATTGGCCCTGTTTTCAAGACATTTCATTTCGATTTTCTTTATTCACTCAATGTTTCATTTACAACTTAAATTTTTTTTTAAATACAGGTATATTGTATGTAGTACATCTTAGGCTGCACCTTTCTTCAACTTTACTTTTGATCAGTTTATTAAAGGCCATTACCTAAAATGTTCAATAAAAGTGTCTAGTCTCACATAGACAGTGTTCATTTGTATTTAGGTTTGTGTTAAAACTCAGAGAGTTATATAGTATTGTTTTGAACTTAATTTTTATTCATTATCATTTCATTGATTAAATTTATATTCATTATCATTTCATTGATTAAAATGTTTCATGTCATTATTTTATAAGTAGTACAGTACAGTGCTGTTGTAAAATAGTCTTATAATATGCTGTGTGTGAATCACAAATGGGTTGTCTACATAAGAAAAGGAGTCATTCTCTTTCTAACTTATAAATATATTTGAAAGTTGGTTTAACTTATTATAATTATTGTAACAAGAGGTGCAGTATTTCTTTATTACTTGGTTGTGATCCTTCCCCACAAATTCAGATTGCCGTGGGAGCAGACTGAATGCAGTTCTTCAGGCTGTAGCTTCAATGGAGGACAAGACCAGTGACAGTGTCCATGAAACAGATGAAGTATTGTATTCAAGATTGGCTGATATGACAGTCAGTGATGGTAAGAATGAATCCTCCTCCACTGGGACTACATTGCAAAACAATAATATGCAAAATAATGAGTTAGGTCAGTATAGTATAAATTTTGTACCATTTGAAAGATACAATAATTGGTGTAGCAGTAGGTATCAAGTTAATCATTCTGTCTCTTATATATATACAGTACAATCAAGGTGTCTTCCTCATATCTGAAGGTTGGTGGCCATGACCCTCCTTTCCAGAATTTGTATCTCTTGGGGAACCACAGCTGTTAGTGTCATTCATCCATCCCAGCCTCTGCCTCCCTCTGCTTCTTCTACTCATGTATACATTATTATATCCACCTTTAATCCTCTCTTCCTTATTTATATTTCCACAGTACAGGGAGTCCACATTATTCATATACCTGCTACTCATGTACTGTATTCACTTTTACGTAAAGCAGTTTTTACTACCCAAATATTATTATAAGTACTGTACGCCATACTTGGTTATATGTATACAGTAATCCTGGATTATTTGAGTATTTCATTTTACACCTTCAGCAATTCGTGGGAGGCAATAAAATATTAAATATAAATAATACTGTATATACTGTACAATAATTCAAAATATCTGCTAGCAAGGAAACTGTGTTTTCTTCTTTTACTTTTTTCTTTTTTACTTTTATCCTCTTTGCCCCTGATAGCCTCGGTAGTAGTTTCAGCAGTCAGTCACGTCTCTGTTATGCACTGGTGGCAAGTACTGGGCATGTACTGGCTCCAGAATGTATTTCTACCTGCTCCAATGTTGGTCAGATCTGGTCTTAAAAAGAGCTCACACTCGGTGTTGTCATAACACTCACTGGCAGATTGTTCCTAGTGTTCACAATTCTTTCTGCAAAAAAGTTTGCCATCACAATTTTCTGAATTTGTGGCTTCTTCAACCTTAAGCTGTGACACTTAGTGGGGTGGACATCTGGCAGCTCCAGGTATAAGCATTCGACCGAGTAATTACCGTGGAGGTGTTTATAGAGTTCTATTAAGTCACCCCTTACATGCCTATAGTATAACCTAGGCAACTGCACGTGTTCTAATTTCTCTGGGTAACAGAGGTGCCGTAGTGCAGGCACCAGTCTGGTGACCCTCCTTTGGACATTTTCAATCTACTGACAGTCTCTCGCTTATCTCGGAAACCAGATGGGGTGACAGTATTCCAGATGGGGAAGCACCTCGCTCTTGAAGAGCATTACAAGGGACAGATTGTCTAGATATCTGAACAATCATTTTATAAGACCCACTAGCTTAGTTGCTCGATTCATCCTTCTTTTTACAATTGTCTGAGTATTTAAGTGAGGAATAAAATAAAGTAAATAATTCGTAAGACACCATTTTTTCTCACTTTAACACCAATTTCTTCATTTCAAAAACCTTGTTAATAAAGTATTGGTCTCCTTGAGACTGAACAACTGCTTTCTGTTGCAATTGTCCACACTCAAGGTGTGTTATTTATGTCATAGTGCTGGGAGGTGGTTTACTATCAGGTGTTGTGCCACTGCTCATGTACTTCTCCACCACGGGATGCATGAACAGTCCACTGTTTCCTGTGTGTTCCAACATGAGTTATGGATATCGAGTACTGTACTGCAATCATATATCATTAACTTTATTCATTACTGTACACTTCATATTAATATTAATAGAAGTTTATTTATTTATTGGTGTATAGTACTTATATGATTAATACTTGTTTCTGTAATCAAACTTAACTAAATTGGAACCCGATACTCCCTCCCCTGTATCACATTGATTTATATAGAAAATATTGCTGTTTTTTCATTGGGACTTTTAGAAATGGAACCCAAATTAATAATGAGGTCTCTGTGTACTGTATCTTATTTTTCTTAGTATATAACTGTTCAATGTTTTGGTCATTGGTTTAGCCCATACTGTATTGGTACTTCATCATTTGTTTTTATTAGAATAACTTATCATTAACAATCCCCTGCAACAATGTATGCAGTACAATATTTCAAAGGCTTCTTACCTTCTTCTGGTGTCTGCTGATTATGTTGGTCATACATGGCTTTTCAACAGCCTTCTCCCAACCTAACAGATCTCTATGATTGTGAAATATGTTTTTGTGTAACTTATTCTTGTTGTTTTAACTTCTTTTATTTATCATCACATAATATTCTACCTTTTTCATTTTCTTCTTGCCTTAAGATATATATTTTGGGAATAATTTCAACCTTGAAAAGAACCAACACTGTACTGTACTTCTATATACTTGTATATAGTGTATTAACTCTTTTACCTTCTACAGTTAATCAGTTCACTGGTTTTTGTAATATCTTCACTAACTACATTAAAAGTAACAGTACATTGTTACCTCTTTACCGGAATAATTGGTGAGCAGCCAATTCGGGATAGGGAATTTTTCTGTATAAAATATATGCGAAAAAGTACAGTAGTCCAATGCCGAACATTGTCTGGTAATTATGAAAAAGTTTGGTACAGTATTTTTAGTCTAGATAAAGTGTCACAAAACTAAATTTTTTTGTTTTATAAATTATAGTTTGGTAACACAAGACTTTATTAAACACTAAATATTATACATATTACATAAAAAATACGGTAACACATAGATATTGTACGAAAAGTAGTTCTATATTACATTAATAGCTCATCCTTGGCTGCTGGCTGATCAACTGTTTGTCTGTGTAAACAAATGACCAGGAATTTAATATGACACACTAACTTATTTGGAGTCGAGGAAGGAATTTTTCTTTTTTATGTGAAAATTTATTATTTTGCGATAATTTTTTATTATCCCGGCACCAAATAGCACATTTTCTTTATTTTTAAGTCACATTACAGAATTGTACTACAATATTATATTCGAATATTTTAGGAAGGGTTCAGTAGAAGGTTAGGTATACTGTCTAGGAATTTGGTATACAGAGCTAATACTGTAGTATCATCTATATCCTGAAGATACAGAACTTTCAAGTGCCCTCTCATACAGGTATATACTGTATACATCTGTGCAGTACAGTACTGTATACCGTATATATTAAAATATACACACATATGAGTGATATAATCGAGACTCTTGAAGATAAGCCCCAAGAGTTCACCTTAAGTTTAATCATCCTTAAAGTATCTGGGTGGACTAATGTTTAGGTAATCCATAAAGAATAAAATTATTAAAGGTACCACTCCTGCTTGACATGGGTAAGAATTAGATGTGGAATGATAATTGAGTGTGTAAGTGTATGGCAGTGTTAGTGTAGACCAGTGTGTTAGACAAGAAATATCATGTGATTCTTTCACTGGTGAATTTAAGGCCCCCGTGATTGAAAGGATTCTAATGAGGAGGTTATGTTGATAAAATGTTGAACTTTGTGAGTTTAGAGAAAACCCAAGTAAAATAAACAGTTAAGTATCTATTGTCCTTTAATACCAATAGTACAATATTCTTACTTGAAAAATTAAAACTTTTTCCTAAAATTTCCAGATGAATTAGTGGATCCAATCCAGCTTGGGAGTTGCCTTGAGGGAGAAGATAGTGATTTTGAAAACTTATTCTCCAATTTTGTGCATCTGAAGCGGACAGCAGCGACACTTCCTCCAAACCAACAGCGAGATTTTGCTGAAAAAGTATCATTGGCATTTTGGAAAATATTGGGAAGTGATGAGGATGAGGTTGATCGTTCTGATTCAGATTGAGTTGTTTATATTTCATTCATTCTTGTTTACTAGCACCTAGGCTAAGAGAGTTTAATGTTTACAGCAGACCACAACACCCTGCTACAGTACAGTTACAATCCAAAGTTTCGACACCCCCTCCATGGCTGGGTGTTCGCCGAGGCCAGCGTTGAGGTAGTGGACACCCAGCCAGGGGGTTGTCGAGTAGGGTGTTGAAACTTTGGATTGTGACTGTACCTCAGACTATGATGTATATGTTTGTATGTATCTGTTGTATTGTTTTGGAACCAGATGTAATATTGTTTGAGAAAATGAAGTTAAGATATGAGCATTTGTTTCTTTCTGGGTGTGTTCCAGTCACTACCTCAAGGTGTTCCACTCCTGAAACTGTCATTTTCTTATTAACTGAATTGTGGCATTGTTGCTGAAAGTGGGGTGTCTCTCATGAGAGAATGAGCAGCTGGGGTTTGAAATTTGAAGGATTTTGGGTCATTTTGAGATACTTTTAAGGGATAGATTGCAAGTTTCAAACAGGAATTTTAGTGCAGCTTTATTAACGACAGTATACACATATAAACATACACATGAGAGAAGCAAAGGTAATGAATTCTTTGAGTGTCTCAAAATCATCACCAACCCATCTAAGACATATTGGTACTGGTACTTGTTCTTGATATGAAGTGAGATTCAGATGTCCCAAAAACGGATATACAAACTGATGAAAAAGTGGGGTGGCCATAGCCTCTGCTAAAAAATAATAAGGAAAAGTCGTTTTTTATGGGGAATAGCCCACCCGGACACAGGTCATCGACCCACAACGGGGCCTGGACGGCAACAAAATATGAGTAAAAATAAATTAAAAATAGAAAAGAAAAAGGTTACAGTCAACCCTTGCTTTACGCGGTCCCACATTACGTGTTTCCACGTTTACGCGGTACCCTGCCGAAACCGGAATGCTCACTTTCCGCGGTGCGTGTACCCCTTTACGCGGAGAGTGGCTGGCGAGCCGCGCCATTTTTGGATCCAAACCTCCCGCCCTCTCCCGCCATCCGCCACGTTGTGTAAGCGGCGCGAGTAGGTTGCGCAGTGTGTGTCTTTGTTGCGTTATCAGTGACGTCATATGACGTATCGGACTGTAATTGGGCCATGCATCCTTACCTCCCTCTGCTGCTAGCTGTGATTGGTTTAAAGTAATATGACGTGTCCACCCGCGGGAGGGAGGGAGGAAAGAAGTGTTCAATTTCTAAATTTTCCCGGGGGGCTTACAGCGCCCCCCGGAACTCCTAGATGTTTAGGCTCGCTTCACTCGCCACCCCACCCTCTTGAGTAGTTATAATGAGGGGGGCCTCCACAAAGAGGCTGCCCATGGGTGTCCACCGGTCTAAATCCGGCACTGGGTTCACACTCAGGATGGGTTGGAGAAAGGAAACTCACAATGTGCTCTCTGTATACATATTGTATTGGATGTACAATGCAGCTTGGTGCTGGGTAGGCAGTATGGTTACAAGCGTTGAGTGGAGAGAGCTGGTTGGTGAGGGTGCGGCAGAGGAGGGCATGCAGTTTGAGGGACGCCAAGGTCGCCGGCGGGAGCGGGAGCCACCAGGCTGGAGCAGAGGAGGAGGTGTTGCTTGCTGGTGGCCGTAGGTAGAAAGAGAGCGGTCACAGCGGGGTGAGGTCTTATAAGGTGGGGTTAGGTGTGGGTTGATAGATGACCCCCGCTCCGTCAGGCGGCGCTGGAGGCGTAGGCTGGGGAATTCGAAAAGGGTCGGCTACACAGCGACAAACAGCGTTTATAGGGGAGGAATCCACTACAGTTCTATACTCCTGTTTGTATTTATTTTTTGTTGTATATTTTTAGCCCTTATTAGCTTACTAGCCGCTCGGGCAGTGGTATTGATTCTTTAACAAGAGTTTTATTGTGTATATAATGTGCTTTATTTATTAGCATCTTTTAGTAGTATTTTAATTATTATTAACGTCTCAAAAAGGTTTCAAAGAGACAATTTCGACTGATTTATTGATCTTTATTGGGAATTCATCACATGTTCAGTAAAAATACATTGTGTATAGTAGAGTTGAGCACTTGGAGGCTTTATTATACATTACATCAGAAAACAAGAGAAACAACATTTGTAATACAATAACATAATACAATAAAGTACATATTAGGGTATGAACTACAGATACTGAACTTAACCTACGTTATATTAATGGATGATACTGTAGTGGACGTCTCCCCTACAACTGCCTACAACTGCGTAGCCACAGCCACCACCTGCTACCGCCTTCCCTAGCAACCAACCAGATGTTACCGTATCTTAGCAACGGAACTAGTCACCGGCGACTTTCTGGGTTTTCCCAACATGATTCATAGAGGACTGGCGGCTGCTGCTGGGTATATAAGCTCTGTCTCTCCATTGAGATTCATTCTGACCATTCTTCTTGAACAAGCAACACCTCCTCCTCCACCGCTGCCTGGCAGCCCTTGCTTCTCCTCGCCTGCCTGGCGGTCCTCGCTCCCGCCAGTGAGCATGGCGACCCACCAGCTGCCCTTCTCTGAGCTTCCTCACCAACCAACTCTCATTCTGGCCCATCTTCCTGAACAAGCAACACCTCCTCCAGCAAGCTCCACGCTGTTAACATTCATTCAACCAGGAGGCCAGCAACAGGCAACATCTTCTCTAACGAAGCTCCTGCACATCTACCTCCTTCAACACGCTACTCACCGAACGCTTCTACTGAGCAGCCCATCACCACACGGCATCTCCAGTACCAGACTGTCTATCATATAACTTATATTATACAAGAAAACCACATTAGAGTTTCCTTCCATCCTGAGTGCTAGACAACATTAATATCTCGATACCCCTACAATACAGTGTAAATAGCCCGGTAGACACAACTCCACCTCTGTACACCGTATACTACAGTAGCTCCAGCCAGTACCGGATTTAGACCTGTGGAGGCCCATGGGCAGCCTCTTTGTGGAGGCCCCCCTCATTATAACTACTGAAGAGGGTGGGGTGGCGAGTGAAGCGAGCCTAAACATCTGGGAGTTCCGGGGGGCTTACAGCGCCCCCCGGGAAAATTTAGAAGTTTGAACACTTCTTTGGAGAATTTTAAAGCCATATGCATTTATATTGAGGAAATTAGAACATTGAGAAATTTTTAATTAGCTGTATATTTATTGATAGTGTACAAATTCCTAACACACACACACACACGTGAGACATGACTGGAGTCATTCATGTGGTTTCAAGTCGACCAGCGCTGATATAGCTACTACCGCACATGTGGAGGCCCCCAGATTGTGGAGGCCCCTGGGCAGCTGCCCACTTTGCCCACTCCTGAATCCGGCCCTGAGGAGGAGCAAAAGGGGGAGGAGGAGCACAGGGGGCGAAGTAGCATAGGAGTAGGAGAAGCACAGGGAGAGGAGG